GAGAGAGAGAGAGAAAGGAGGGAGATTGTTATCGAACGTGGAATATTACGAAGGAAAAGAAGTTGGTCGAGGAATGATGCACGAGCGAGAATGAGGGGAGGATTGAACTCGAGTCTCTGCTCTGGGAGCTGCGTGCGTGCCAAAAACTGCGAAGGTATTTATCTGGAGAGGAGGAGAGAATCAGCCTCCGATTAAACGAGAAGAAGCGAGAAATTTCTCTCTCTCTCTCTGCGTTTAACCCGAATTCGCACGTTGCACATCTCGACAGGCTAATTTTTCCGATTGGAGAATTGCCTTTTATCTATATTTGCGTAAAGCTTCCATATTTCAATACTTTCCCAATTAGAGAATTATTTTTATCCGTATTTAAAACGAATATTCGTTTATCTCGAAATTTCTAAAAAAAACTCGCGTTTCAATATACTTCACTTTCGATATATTTCATATTATACTTTCCCGATTAGGGAATTATTTTTATCCATATTTATATAAAGTTTCTAAAAAAAAAAAACTCGTGTTTGAATAGTTCACTTTCAATATTTCAATATTTTCCCAATTAAAGAATTATTTTTATTCGTGTTTATGTAAAGTTTCGTATATCTCGAAATTTCTATTCACGAGTTTTCAAAAAACTTTTTCCGATAATTCAACAATTTTTTCAATTAGAGAATTATTTTTATCCATATTTAAAGCTTCCAAAAAATTTTCGATACTTCAACTTTCCCAATTAGACAATTATTTTTATCCATATTTATACAAATCTTCGTACATTTCGAAATTTCTATTGAAATTTCCAAAAAACTCGTGTTTCGATACTTCAATACTTTCCCAATTAGAGAATTATTTTTATCCATATTTAAAGCTTCGTATATCTCGAAATTTCTATTCACAAGTTTTCCAATACTTCACTTTCAATACCTCAACTTTTCCAATTAAAGAATTATTTTTATCCATATTTTATCCATGTAAAGCTTCCACGTAAAAAAGTATTCATGTTCGAATACTTCACTTTCGATACTTCAATACTTTCCCTCAATCATAGAATTATTTTTACCCACATATATACAAATCTTCGCGTAACATTTCAAAATAGGTGAGTTTCTTTCGATGCCACGCTCACGTTTACCCTCCTCGTTCAACCGTTCGCCCCGCGACCCCCCCTCGCGAAGCCTTGCACGATGCGCGCGCAAGACGCGGGCCACGTGCTCGCGTCATCTTTGGAGGAGGAAAAGGATTCGGCCGGATGAAATACGGTTCGTCCAATTAAGCCGCGATAAGATCGTCGGGTGGCGCTGGGTGGCGAGTTTTAAAACGACTTCATTAGACTGCCCATAAAATTCATTGGCCCCGTTGTGAAACAGGGAAAAAAGGAGGATAGATAGATAGATGGATGGATAGATAGAGAGGGAGGACGACGACAGGTTAAGGCGACAGGTGGCGTCGTACATCAAACTTTCAAGCCAGCCTCGATCGCCTCGAAACGTTTGGGGAAACGTCTCGATTTCCACACAGAAAGGAACGATTAGGGTTTATTAGAGGCGACATACCGGTCCCCGAAATTCCTGCCGCAGATGGAATTGCTGCGCGTGCCTCTCTCTCTCTCTCTCTCTCCTCCCCGATTTTTATTCCAACCGTTTAACCAATTATTATTATTATTCTTCTTCTTCGAAGAGGATTTCGTTTCGTTATTGTTCCGAAGAATTTTTTAACGATCGAGATAAGGAAGAATTCGAAGGATCGAATTCTCTGTTTCTACGTTTCTCATGATTTTAATATCGATGAATGAGATTTTTCTTTCCAGAAAAATGCGAGGTCGTTGGAGAGTATATTTTTCTTTTCAAGTGTTATTTGTTATCATTATCTTTGTGTTAATAACGCGTTTCCAGTGCGATTGAGTTTCTAATCGAAAGCGATAGAAACGAGAGAATAAAAAAGTAAAACGCGAAAAATGAGCGAACCGGTTTTCCTGAACTTGTCGCTCTATTTGATGAATGGTGGAACGAGCACGCGTTTTCCACGTGTGGAAGAGAAATATCGAGGAAATTTCGACCGCGATAAGAAAAGAAAACGAAAGATGCGAGACCGAATTAGAAATCGAAAGGAAATAAAGAGAGAGGTTTGAGTGATGAAAGAGATCGAGTCGAAGAAAATATCGAAGAAAATTCGTTCGAGGTGCGTTAAAAATCGAAAGAAAATAGAGAGACAAGTTCGAGCGAGAAGAAACAAGAGATCGTGCAAGAAAATTTCAAAGAACACAAGAGATGCAAAGATGCGTTAGAAATTAAGAAAAAAAAAAAAAAAAAAAAAAAATAAAAGAAGTTTCAACGATGAAAAAGATCGTATCGAAGAAAATTTCAATAAAAACATCGAAGAAAATTCGTTCGAGCCACAAGACATGCGTTAGAAATCGAAAAAAAAATAAAAAAAAGAAATTTCAACGATGAAAGAGATTGTGAAGAAAATATCGAAGAAAAAAAAATAGAAAGAGAAAGATTCAAAGATGAAAGAGATCGTGTCTCAAAAAAAAAATTCGTCCGAGCCACGAGTGAAACACGTTAGAAATGGAAGGGAAATAGAGAGAGAAGTTCGAGCGAGGAGAGATAAGAGAGATCGCGTCGAAGAAACTTCCGCGTTTATATCCAACCGGTCTCCGCCAACCGGCGAATCATTTTTTTTTTTAATCTCGTCGAGAAAAAAAAAAACTGCAATAAAAATTTTCCATTTGCCCCAATAACATTTCGACCGCCGATGTATCTCCTCGATCGTTAATTTTACCCTCCTCCTCTCCTCAAAAAAAAAAAAGAAATAAGAGAATCGAGAATTCTTCTCACGCGACGAACAGGAAGAGGTAAAAGGCAATATCTTCATTCCTGCTCGAACTTTCGTTAAATCGAACGATTTTTCTACTTTTCGTTCTTTTTAACCCTTTCTCAACGAGCCACCAAAAATGTGCACCGTGCTCGAGAAAGATCGTCAGCGAGTTGTTTATTAGAAAAAAAAAAAAAAAAAAAAATTAACAATAAAAACGAAATATCGATGCTACATTTTCAGAGAATGATGCGCGATAACACCGATAACGCTCGTCGTATCGTACGATACGCGGCATCTTATTTGGCTCTAGTATCTCAGTCGCATCTTGTGCAGAGAGACTATAGTCGGCCGTAGTATCTCGGTGGCATCTTGTGCAGAGCGGCTATGATCGGCCGTAGTAGCGAAAAGGCTTATTAAGCCTTTAGACAGGATTTGGAATCGATCGAAGGAAGGAAAGAGTGGATTTCGATGATCGTGGATTTCGTTTCGAACGCACGCGCGGAAGAACGGCACGCAATACGATTATTTCGTTGAACCGTCTCGCGGTTTCACTTTTTTTTCCTTTTCTTTTCTCCTATTCTCGTTTCGCACGTGTTTCATTTACATAACGCAACAATTCGGTTCCCGTACGCAACAATCTTCGCCGTAAACAACTTTCGTCGGCAGTTCGAACTTTGAACGGAAGGGATCGGATAAAATTCAGCGAGGCGGTGAAATATAATTAAATTAATTAATAGATAAATAAATGAGTAAATATATAAAACTCGGGCGCATGGAAAAAGTTGGGAAGTGCCACGCGGTGCGCAAACGGGTACAAAGAGTATCGGTAATTTGGAGCGCGGCGAAACAAAACGCGGTGAAAGAAAGCGAAAGACGGTGAAGATAATTAAGAGAAAGCGTCGAAACGCTTTGGAGAAGAGGCGAGTAATCGCGTATACGCGGCCCGAAATACGATCGGGAAACGAGATTATTTTATGAATCGTGCGAATCATCTTATTACTCCCCTTTATTAAATCTCTCGTCTCGCGTTACGTATACGCCATTTCGTAAATTTAATTTACAGTTTCGATCGATAATCGACCCGTTTCGTCGCTTCGCCGTTGTATTGTTCGTCGTATTGTTCAAAATTATCAAATACGAATCGTAAATCTTAATTACGATTTTAAGAGAATCCGAGCAATTTTTATTTACCGCATAAGCGACGATCGATGATTGTTTCGATTTAAAATTGAAAAAAAAAAGAAAAAGAAAAGCGTGGAAAATTCGTTAAATTTGCGGCGGAAGGATAACGAGAACGAAGGATAAAAGTAATAATGACTGGGTGCGAAAGAGAAATCGAAATTGGAGGAGAGAAAGAGGAGGAGGAGGGGGAAGAGTATGCGCGAGCGAATAAGAGTAGGAATAAGAAGAGGAACGGGGTGGAAAGGTTGCGAGAGAGCGAGAAGGGGCCATTAGGCGAGCGTGCACCGCGGACCCCACACTTACCTTAATTATTTCCACATGACTCGTCGAAAATCTCGCTTGCTCCCCTAATGAATACTAATTTCGAACTGGGGGCCCCGGCCAAATTTCAGACTTCCTCTTAACCAACCAACCGACCAACCGCCTTTTCGTCGATTCGGCCAAGACAAAATTCGGCAGCGACTCACGATCAACCAGGAAACCAATTTACCGTTAACTTTGTTCCAACCACCTCGGTCATTCGAGGAAAAATTTCTCGAGCATTTTTCTCGAACGCGAATTAAATTCGAATCGAATCCGATTCTGCTCGAATGTTACTCGATAATCGAGAAATTGGTATAATAAGTTAATGTTATTTTTTTATAGGATGGGAACGAGATGTGTGGTCGTGTTCCACTTTGCGACGCGTTCATTAACGTAGCCATCTACCGGCTCGAGGGGCAAACGCGCAATTACAGCGGAATTGGAAAGGGAAATAAAGAGAAAGGTGGAAGTTTATTCGATCTTATTATATCAGAGAACTTGACGAGAGCTAACGAGTTGCAGAAATAAGATATAAATGTTGTTCGAATATAAATATAATACGATATATACCTATAATTAATACTCGGCGACGTGCTCGTTACGCGTTCAAATACGTGCACGGCGGTTGTTGAAACGGGCGAAAAATGCGATAAGAAAAATGTTTACCTTCGTACGTGCACAAGTTGTTCGATTCCCGTTTAATTGATAAATCGAACAATTTTTCATCGATCGTCCCCCGATACGTCTTATTTAATTGTCGTATATTCCTTCGATCAAAGACGAATTATTTCCAACGAATGTTAGCCCGAATAAATTATTTCTCTTACGCGCATATTTTTCCATTACTGATTTTTACTTTTCTGAAATATACCCTTCAAAGATATCTAACGAATATATGAATTCGATCGATGAAATTTTGAAAAAAAGAAAAAATTCTCGTATCTACTTTTTCGACGAGTATTTTCGAAAAGGAAATGGAGAAGGAGGATAAAAGGTTCGATTGGGAGAGGAAGGGGCGACGGAGTCGGATACGAGAGGAGGATAGAAAAAAAAAGAAGAGGTGAAAACTGAGAACCTGTCGGGCTGACGATACCCTGGGCAAAGCGGTGCTAATTATGCAAAATAAATAAAGGCACGTGCACCGCGCATTCTCTCTCTTTCTCTCTCTTTCTCTCCCTCTCCCAATCTTTGGTCGCACGCGATTTCGACGGGCCGCAATTATCGAACTTGAGCCGTTCGCTTCTCTCCTTTCATCCTTCATCCCTTTTGTTTCCTCTCTCTCTCTTTTTCTCCATTTTCTTCACTTAATTTATCCAAATTTTTTTCATTTCGATCCTAGAAATCTTGGAAACTAGTTCTATTCTATGCGAAAAAATTTCTACTTTTTGATTTGTTTCCTCTTCGAAGACAATAGAAACATAAGAGAAGTTCGTTTAGTCTCGTTGCATCGATAGCGAAAGCGGTTCAATTAACCGCATTTTCGCGAGATTTAACACGGAGATAAATCGTCGATGTTTAATGGGAAATCATTAAATTACTTTGTGGGAAAAAAGAATGTTGTCGTTTCGACAATACATCGATCCGTTCGAAAAAAACTCGGACGAGGAATCTCTCCCCCCCACGACATTTCTTCGATCACGTGACAAGGTAGAACGCGATCACGTGACAAAGTAGAAACGCGATCGCGGTGGGAAAACGAAACTGTTCTCGTGCTTCGTTATCGCTACACATCGTCCGCATTCTTATATCCATTACCAGCATTATTGCCCCTTCTCGTTACTTTTTATCTATCCACCAACTAAGATCTCTCTAGAAGAAAAGGAATCGAAATCGCGTCGAAAGGATAACAAGGGGAAAGCGATCGATCTTCGTTCGAATTCTTAATAACTTGTTACGCGTGCAATTATTTAATAATTCATAATAATAATTCACGTAATTATTTAATAATTTGTTACGCGTGCAAATAAGTTCTTTCCCATTTTTCTTTTTTCAAATTCAAGATTTTATCACACTAATCAGGTACAAGATCACAATCTTTCCGCCGATTCTTCTCTGGATCAGATTTTCGTCGAACTTTCTCGAACCTTCCATCGTCGTCCTCCAAATTAAACTTTCCGGCTTCGACTTTTCGCACGTTACGTGAGACGCAGAATTCTCTTCTAGGCGCGCGCAAATCGTTTCGGTAGCTTCGACAGTTGATCTATAAGCTAGAACGCAAAAAGCGAGCAGCGACACGAACGACGTTTCTCGTGCGCCATTTCGCTCGAAATCATTGCGCAGGACTGGAAACTGTCGGAGACTGCTCGTCGCGACTCTTCTGAAAAACGAAAGAATGGATGGCGCCACGAGCAATTCGGTCTGAAGTTAGGATAGAAAGAAAGAGGTTGAGAGATTGTTCGCACAATAGTAAGATCGATCGATACAACCGTACAATCTGATTAGAATCGATTCGAATTTTCAGAGTGGTGATGGCGTTTGATATTTTCGCGAGATATATTTCACGATCAAGAGGATTATAATTGCGCAATGCGATGACATAAAAGAAAAGGAGAACATAATAGAACGCGTTGTGTAATTAGAAGCGGAAACGAGTATATCAATCGTGCGAATCCGTGTATCGTGCGTATCGCGATATTAGAAGCAACATACGTAAAAGGAAAGAGTTTCTCTTATTACAAGTACGAGTAATAAGTTTATATTTCTCCCCCTTCTTTTGAAAATTGAAATTCCTCGTTATGTTCTGCCGCATGAATTATTTAGATATATAATACGATTCGCCAATTTACTTTCATTTCCTAAATATATTATTCCTTATTTAACCTCCTTTTTTTTACCACTTTGTGTTTATGAAAACATTTAAAATTCTAGAAATCTTCTACTAATCTCTTACAACTCGCTTTTTTTTTTACGAAAGTGTACGTAACACGTAATATACTGATCGAAAACATCCGCCTTTGAACGATCCTCGTCCCTTCTTCACGAGGAAGAATTCTTAACGTTGATCGTGAAACGAGAAAAAGGAAAAGAAACAAAAATCCATCAGAATTCTGTAAATCCTGTATATAATGACACCGATGAAATAGAAACTATAAAATCGAAGAGAAATTGAAAGATTTCCAAGAATATGGAACGAAGTCTCGTTCGATAACACGTAATTCCACGCACAGATTTCATCGCTCTCCTCGACTCGAAGGGGAGAAACCGCAAAATAAAGCTCGCACGAACGAAATGTCCCCAATTATGGTATCCGCGTGCGCGATATAAGCGTTTCCTAATCCTCTCTTTCTCGGTCGTGGCCTCGGACGATAGAGCGTGTGTGTATGTGTGAAACGCGATGTTAAATTGGCGGGTGACGAAAGAGGGGGAGGAGGGGGCGAGTGCTGTAGAAAGATGCCGATCCGGAAAGGCGTGTATATAATGTAACGGATCAGTGTGGACGGATCGAGGCGAATTAATTCCCCAATAAGGGCGCCCACGCTGTACCCTGTGATTCGAAGGGAAATGTTGAGCTACCATGTCATTTTCAGCAAATATTCGATTCGATTCGATTCGAAGGGGTAACCGGCCTATTTTCGACCTCGTTTCGCAATTCTCGAAACGCGGTCCTCGCCGGTCTCGAATCCTTTGCCCGATCGATCGAACCAAGCGTTGCGCACAGTTTTTTAGGTTTTTAGTTGTTTCTTTAATTTTTTTAGATCTATTTAGTTTTTTTAGGTTTTTAGGTTTATTCAATTTTTTAGCTTAAATAAACCTAATTTTTTTTTTGTTACTTTTAGGTTTATTTCTTTTAGTTAGTTTTAGGTTTATTTAGTTTTTTATGTTTTTAGTTGTTTCTGTAATTTTTTAGGTCTATTTAGTTTTTTTAGGTTTATTCAATTTTTTAGGTTATTTTTTGTTTTTTAGCTTTTAGTTGTTTTTGGGTTTATTTTTTTGGTTAATTTTAGGTTCATTTAGTATTTTAAGTTTTTAGTCGTTAGTTAAGTTAATATTATTAAAAGTGGAGAAAATCCAAATTTTCAAATTTATGAAAGATAATTGTTTCAATAACCATACATTTGAAACTCTTACGCATTAAAATTTTTAAATGTTAGATTAACAAAATACACGTAAATAAAAGAATTAATCGATAACTGATCGGTCGCATTTCGATAGATATTCGAGAAATATTCCGTAAATTTATCAGAGAAAAGTTTAAATTTCAATTTTGTCCAATTATATCCTTATCATAGCCGAACTATTATACAACGCGTTTACTTGGAGGATTCGAATCGCAAATATTTCTATATTCGTATATTTTTTTATATAATTTTATTAGTTTTAGTTAGTTTTTGAACGAAACAACTATATATATATATATAACCTCAAAACCTGGAAAAAAATAATTTTGATCCAATTATACTCGAACGAGTATGGCGTCGCTTGTTTGAGAGATCGCATACGCACCACGTTTCCACGAGAAGCGAGAATCTCCGTCGCATAGAATAATTGCGATTCGTGGCCGATCCGAGAAGAGGAGAATCGTGGACGAGGAGAGGGGGAACATTGTTTTGGATGCGCGGCCCGGCAGAGCGGTCTCGGGGAGGGAGAGGGGCGGGCGGACGTCGCAGAAGGAGAGGAGAGGAGGGGGGAAAAAAAATTCCTCGAGGGTGGATCGAGCACGAAATTCTTGAAAGGCATCGTCCGAGATGCACCTGTACCCTGCGCGGTTAGGTCGTGTGCATTTTTCACCTCTCCTCTCTCTCTCTCTCTCTGTCTGTCTTTCTCTCTTTTTCCATCAGGTCGCATCAGGTTGCTTTCTCTCTTCCTTCCACCCAAGCTCGACCGACCAAGCTCCTCGCCTCGTGTGTCTCGAAATCATTCCACGAGCCTACTCGTGTTCGAGGAGCGCGACCGAGTAAGCATTCCTCCTCGAGAGAAGACGCGTGCCTGGCGTGTGCTTCTTTTCCCCCACCTCCTCGTATTTAAATTCGAGCCTTCTTTCCTTCTCTGTTTATTCTTTTTCCGCGCTCACTCGATTTCCGAACGAACGAACGAACGATCGATCGATCGATCGATCGATCTTTGTGTAAAGTCTTAACGTCGCACGCCTTTCTCTTCCCCTCCCTGGATTCAATTTTAATTCAATAATAATTCAAGTTTATCGAGCTTGATAAAAATTTGGATCGATAATTTTCAAATTTCCCTTTCGATAATCATCATCACGATGTTAGAAAAGGAGAAAAATCGAGAAACGAGAGAGAAAAAGAGAATTAGAGGAGGGTTATCGATCCTACGAATTACGCGGATAATTTTCAAATTTGCCTTTCGATAATCACGATTAATATAAAAATTCCGAGAGGAGAAAATCGAAGAACGAAAGAGAAAAAGAGAAATGAAGAAAGGAAGGAAGGAAGAAAGGAAGAGGAGAGCTGGACTCCTCCTTACGGCTGGTTGGCAGCG